TTATGCCTGTAATCTCAGCTCTTTGGGAGGCCAAGGCGGGAGGATCACCTAAGACCAAGAGTTCAGGACCAGCCTGAGCAACATAGTGAGATACCCCATTTCTACAAAAAACAGAAGAATCAGCCAGGCGTGGTGGTGTGCACCCGTAATCCCAGTTACTTGGAAGGTTGGGGCAGAAGGATCAATGGAGCCCAGCTCCTTCTAATGACTATCTCTTTTCTAGTTCTATTCTATTGTCTGCCTTTTAATACTATATTGCCTCTTGGTGCTTTGGTTAATTTTTATCAAACACAATCAATATTTGATTTGTATTTAATTAGCAATAACTTGTCTATTTGCACAGAACTTTATCATTTAGAAAAACATTTCACACGTATTACCTCATTTTGATTTTGGTCAAATTTCTTTTTTCCTCAATGAAAGCATATTCTAGAGTATACATGTCAAGGAACTTCTTACCACTTATTTCTTCAGGGGCAATACTATAGCTGAAACTGTAAGGAAGACGAATTTCAGGCTCTTAGCTGAGATCCAGCAAATGATCATTCTTCTAGTATAAGTTTATAAAGTAATTAAATATTAATCCATAGCTTTTTATTACCTTTACTTGGAATGTAAAATCACTTAGAAGACTTACAATGTAATGACATTCCAGTTCATTTTTAGACATTCTTTATTGTGGAATAATTGGAAAGATCTTTTGATAATGTTCAAAACTCTGCCTCTGCTTATATATTTTTTATTCCAAAGAACAATCATTCATTGAAAAAAAGATAAAATTCACCCTTTAATTGTGGTTTTGTGTTTTTACTGGTGAGTATTTTTACAAATATAAATATAAAATATTTTTATAAATATAAACTTCAAGATGAAATAGGTATTTTAAATTATCCATGTATTCATGTTGGCTGTGATTCTGATTTCAAAAAGCAACCAAAATTCTGTGCTTATACGTTGAGAAACTACTTCTATCTGGGGAAAAGCACTAAGATATTTTTGCCAATATGAATGATACCTTCACCCACTCTTTATTAGATTCAATACCCCTCAGACAAGATCTCCCATGTTAATAATAATAATAATAATAATAATAATAATAAGGCAATGGAACTGGTAGAACTGACCAACATTTTGTGTACACCGAGAAGGAAGCTAAGTAGTACTTAATACTTTTTCCAAATGTGATTTGTTTTTCTGTATATGTTGAACATAGTTCTTTAGGAAATAAGGGTTCAGTTGTAGGAACTTTAGTATGTCTCTCTTTTTAGGTCAAGCTGAATGAACGAATCATAGCCACTTCACAAGGACTGCTGATCCGCTCTGTTCAAGATTCTGACCAAGGACTGTATCACTGCATTGCGACTGAGAACAGTTTCAAGCAGACCATAGCCAAGATCAACTTCAAAGTTTTAGATTCCGAAATGGTGGCTGTTGTGACAGACAAATGGTCCCCATGGACCTGGGCCGGTTCTGTGAGGGCTTTACCCTTCCACCCGAAAGACATCATGGGGGCATTCAGCCACTCAGAAATGCAGATGATTAATCAGTACTGCAAAGACACGCGGCAGCAGCCTCAACAGGGAGGAGAATCACAGAAAATGAGAGGAGACTATGGCAAGTTAAAGGCTCTCATCAACAGCCGGAAAAGTAGAAACAGGAGGAATCAGTTGCCGGAGTCATAATATTTTCTTCCATGGGGTTTATGCTACTCGTAACAAATGCTCTGTCTTCAACGATCAAATTTTGAGCAAAGAATCTTGGGCTTTACTCGGGAAATTCCTGAGAAAGATGATTACTCACTCCTAAAGTGAGTTTTACATGAACTGAAATGAGCATGCATTTTCTTGTATGATATTGACTAGCACTAGACATGTCATGGTCCTCATGGTGCATATAAATATTTAACTTAACCTAGATTTTATTTATATCTTTACTCACCTTTTCTTCGAAATCAACAGTGAGGCTACAAAACTAGAATTGTCACATCCCTCAATTGAACAAGGGCTATAGCCCTGTGTTATTTCTTCCATGCTTTGGGGCTTTAGATTTCTAATTGTGAATGATTTTATATATGAAAACAAATTCCAGAATCACAACTTTCACATAGTAAAAGTCATATAAATGCATGTGACAGAGTGGCTATCAAAAGAAATGTAATATAGATAAAAGACAAGGAAGAGGGCATCTAAAAGTTGTGTAAAAACATGAGTGATTCATATAGAGAAAATGATGAGTTTATATGCTTCCAGTGAAATAGATTACTTTTTTAAGATTGTAAAAATTATCAGTTGCTGATTTCTGTCATTGACCTCTTATTCCTTGTTTTAGGAAGATAAAATCAACAACCTACACCATGAAGATCTTTGATAGGAGTTATATCAGTGAAATAGTTAGGTTTATGTCATTGCCTTCCAAAGAAAATTACTTTCTTATTTTGGAAGTTATTTAAGTTATTCCAGACTCAAAGAATATAATCTTGCACTGTTGAAAGATTACTATTTTTATCCTAATTTTCTAATCTGTGTGGCAAATTAATGTAAGAAGAAAAAAATTTTGAAGTATCAAATTTCTGTATGAGGGGTGAAACTGTAAAATAAAAATGCAAAATCAAAGTGGGAAATGCAATTTTATTAAGAGAATTTATAACAAATGTGGCTACTTTACAAATTCAGTACGCAAGTTCAATGACTCTCACTTTTATTAAAACCAATCTCAGATATCCTACTGATTTTTAAGTCAACGCTTAATTTTTTAATGATTTTTGGGTGTGGTGGTGAGTTGCTCAATATGCCCAGAAAGGAAAAAGCAATATAATATGAATAAAAATGGACATTCTTTTAAAAGAATTATGGTGCATATGTTCACTGGTCTATAAATATACATGTGGTAAGTTTTGTGAGGGATAGAATAGTTATCTTCTAATTTTGATTAGATAACTTTATTAGAATAATACTGAAATTGCTTCCTCCTGAGAAAAAGTAGCTGAAAAAGATATGAATAATTTCCTCATTTTCTCATATTTCTTTTAAAAGCACAACTTTTGCTTTTTCATTTTATTTACTTTTTAAGAAAGGTCAAGTTTCCAGGTAAAAACAGAAATAGTACCATATACCTAATCAATATCTAATACAAAAATTTTATTTATTGTTAACAATCCATGAAGAAGGTAATCAAGGCAGTTGCATTGCCTTTTTAAGCATTGCAGTGTAAAACTTCAAAAACTAAAATCATTGTCAAAATGGGATGTGATCCTTGATAAGAATCTGAGAATATGATGCATTATTTCAGGGGTGGTAAATGATAACATGATAAGAAGAGGTCTCAATGTGGCAAAAAGACCAGATAAAATACACAACATAATACCAAACGTCATTTTAAAAACACTATCGTTCTAAATGTGTATGATTCCAAAGCAATCTCTAATGCAGTTTATTATACAAATGGTTTGCCTGCTTAAAAGGTGTAATTGAAGTTCTTTTCTCCTCCACACGCACAAATACAAATGTGTCAATGTAAAGCCAAAACCACCTTTTGTGCTTATGGCCAAGTTAGTCTATGTATAGAGTTAAAAGCAAAATTGTTTTAGGATCAGCTTCCCTTGCTTCATGTAAGCCCAAACTGATAGACAATAAGGGTGTTTAAATTTATAATATTATTTGTGCTATTTAATATTTTCTATTTTGTGCATTATTGTGTATACTTATTTTACTTTTTTAAGATTATAAAAATTCTTGACCATAACCCTGCCAAATGTAAAGAGAATTTTCTTTCTCAAAAATATTGTTAATGTATACTGAATATTGGTGGTTGATTGATTTTATTTTGTGTAGTTTGACAATTTAATAACTTAATATGTTTTCCATTTGTACTGTACATAAAATTTCTTAGAAATGTACTTTTTTTTAAAGTGTAGGTTTGCGAACATACTTTAGCATGATGAAACTGTCATTACGGTGAATGTTCACTCTGTGTAAGAAACAAACTAAATGTAACTATCACACTAAACTTTAATTGGATATTGAAGAAATTATTGGCCTGGTGAAATAAAACAT